GTCTATATTCCAAAACTTTGTGTGGTAATCCTTGTAGTTTGGCAAATATTCACTTTAATTTTTATTTCTTAACACTTTTTTCTTGGATAATCAATAGATATTTTTTCAAAAACTTTTTTATATTGAAAATATATGTATTTAATCACTTTATATTTACTGATATTCAGATATATATTTTTTTTGAATACTAACCGTTTCAACAAAAAGAAAAACTAAGAGACTATATCAACACTTTCGCTGTAGAACTGCGAGTGCCTGCTGGATTCTGTTGTACTATTATTTATACCAGACGTTGGAATCTGCATATATGAACGATTTAAAACATATAGTTTTCAATACCACTACCAATGCACAAGACACGCACTTACACCTATACATTTAAGAAAATACGATCAATACACACATGTATAGGAAAAAAAGCGCAGGCGTTGCATAGCTAAAGGGGAAATTTCATAAACACAAACGAAAATATTTCAATATTTTTTCATCAAAATACAAGAACAAATAAACAAAACAATTTTGAAATCATTAAGAAAATCTCTCTCAGCTGCTATCTCTCTTAGCAGCTGAGATACTCTCTATTAGTGTGAAAATTTTAAAAATATATTGAAAATTTCTTTCTCTCTCTTTAGATTTGTCTAATTTTTGTTTATATCCTCCATGTGTGTTTTAGATGTTTTTGAATCCCATACATACATACAGTTGCATTTGGAAGTATTTTGTTTTCATTTCAAAAATATACATATTTCTTGCTTAAATTATTGTTTGTGTAAATATTAAACGATCAGCTACATATAGCAAAAAGGTACAGGGGGTCAAGGGAGCAGTTTTGTGGCAACATTTACCAAAACATTTTTCATTTGAATATTTATAAATTTTTGTTTTCATTTCTTTCTCTCTGTAGAAAATCTATAAACAATTTTCTTCTTCTGTGTCTCTATACACCACAAAAAGTACCAGTATTTCATCTGTTTTTTTTTTATTCATACATATTTTCAAAATCATCTTGGTGGAATCACAACCCATACATGGATTGGGTGGAAATTTATAAACAGAAGCGAAACAAAAAAAAACTGAAACGATTTTTTTTCTTAATTTGAAAATTAAATTTAAATAAATCGGCCAAGTAGCAAGAAATTGAAAAAAAAAACAAAATTTATAAGCAAAAATAACAAAAATTGGAAATATTTAATTTTTAATTTAAAATATTTTACAAAAATATTTTGGGTTATAAATTGAAAAAGTTACTTTTATTGTTGATTTGCAAAATTTTTAACTAGTTTTTTATATAAATTTATTGACTAAAAAAATTTTTTTTTTAAATATAAATTTTTGTGTTCATTTCTTAAATGTAAATAGATCAAGCAAAAAGCAAGAAATTCGAAATATTTGAATTATTTTTGTTTAATTATATTAAGGTTCATTAAAGTATATTTGAATATGGATAAATTTGAAACTACTGAGCAGTTGAGTTAAGTAAAAATATCCCTTTAAGGATCCTGTTCTAACAAAGTAACTTATTATAGACTCTAAAAGTCCTATGAATAAATTTATTGGTCCCGCGAGAGCATTTGGTTTTCGTATTGCACACAAACAATTAATAATAAAGCAAATTTTTAAATGTTTGACTAAGTCATTAACATACTCGGCTTCTTTGTTCGAGGTTTTGATCTGTAAGGGTAACACAACAGGACCTATTCTGGATCCAAGTGAGTCAGTTTAACGGTTCTAAAACCTAACATAATCTTGGCTTCTTTGTTAAATGCTTCTCATTAAATTGTTTTTCAATGGACGGACATTCAAATTTAGTGATTGATTTTAAAAGATCATTCCTCTGGATTATAATCAGAAATCTTCTGACAAACTAATACTTCCCTATCTCAAAAAATTTAGCTTTCTATAAGTTAGTAACATGTTAATATATATAGTATGTATTTTTTATCGTGGACTCAGTAAGTACATTAATTTCTTGGTTCTTATAGGATTCTGATACAAAAAAATATGTACGTCCGTAAGTGTGTATGCATGTATGCTGTTAGCACTATAGGTTCCAATTGGGATGAACTAGAGGCTAAAATTTTCCATGTCAACATTTGAAATTCGGATGTATTATTATATATGTACATATTTCCGACAATTATCGACTGATTTTTATTGTCTAATAGAAAGATTCAAGGATTGGAACATAAAGATATATGGGACTTGGTTAATAAATCATTTATAAAATGTAAAGAAAATATTCTACATAAATGCATTTTTCGAAAACTAATTTATGGGCTTTATAGATGACCCTTATTTGAAAAATTCATTAATGTTTTTACTTTCAAGACTTTAGATTAGGAATCATATAAATTGTGGGTTTAAATGTCAAGAGGATTGATTGGATTGATCGATGGACGAAATCGGCTTTATTTACATATTTGATATAGCGGGGTTAAAATCTTTTTTGCAGCTCTTTGGTTTGCCATTTTAGGTTAAGTCCCCGTTTGAATCTTAATGTTCTAGTCGATTAGAGATTAAATATTTCATTAGGCGATAAAAATGCGCCTTTCCGAATACTCTAAGAGGCCATAGTGGCTGACTTTCACTAAGTACATAATCGGCGGATTCAGCCTGCAGTTCATAGAATCAGTAGAAAGAACATCGTCTACTGTTAAGAATGTGCTGGTGATATCTAAGTCCACAATGTACGGTAAAAGTCCCGTTAGTAATCGATTGGGATTTTCTATAGGAATGTTTGTAAAAGTATGAACAGTACATTGTTTATAGAGGGGGGTTCATACAGCAATGCAACCTTAATTAAGTTATTTTTTGCAGACCTTTGGTTTACCATTGAAGGTTAAGTTCTCGTTTGAATCTTAATGTTCTAGTTCTTGAGAGATTAAATATTTGATTAGACCTCCCTGAATACTCGCTCTAAGAAGCCATAGTGGCTGACAGTCACTAAGTACATGTTTAGAGGTTTCACCCTAATTGTTGCCTAGAATGTTCTGGTGATATCCGGTATAAAGTCCTTAGTAATTTTAGGTCACTCTCGTCGTTAAGCGATAATACCTTTGGAATTTACATAGCACAGCAACCTGAATTAATATCATTTCTGCAGTCATTTGGTTTACCATTAGAGTTGCAGTTGTCGTTTGAATCTTAATGTTCCAGTCCGTGAGAGATTAAATATTTCATTAGGTGATAAAAATGTGCCTCCTCGCTCTGGCTGACAGTCACTAAGTACATGTTCGAAGGTTTCACCCTGTAGTTCACAGAATCTGTATAACATCGTCTGATTGTTGCCAAGAATGTGGGATCTAAGACCACAGTGTCCGGTATAAAGTCCAGTTAGTAATCTTAGGTCACTCTCGTCGTTAAGCGATAATAACTATTGGAATTTAACTTTTAATAGCGTTATGAAGCAAATTGTAACCTGCTATTGACTCCTAATGTATTCTTTGGGGATTCTAAAGTATAGTTCTGGTCCAATGAATGGGTGTCGTGCGCCCTTATTTGCCACACAATCTGATCGTTCGTTGGATTCAACATAATAACCATATTAACCAGAATGTATTCTTTGGACAATACCAAAGAACAGCTTTGGTTCAATGAATTGCTAGAAAATCTGATCATTTAGTCAAAGAGTGACCTTCATGGCGGGGTACCTAGCATAGTGCCAGTTACCAAAACATGTCTACAATCGTAATGTATAATGTAAAGCATTATATTGCAATGGAACTACCTTTTCACTTTCTTACGATTTCGATTTTCGTTGCAATATATTTTATCGATTGTTGATAAACTAAATGCGGAAATGTAATCGAAATGCAGATTAGGGATAAAGAAAATAAATAGACTATATCGACGCTTCCAAACTTTTTGCATTTTGAAATCTTACTTTATCTAAATTGAATATGGTTTCTGACCCCACGATTCGTTCAAAAGTTTAAAGATATTCGTCCAGAAAACTATAACCAATATTCGTTTAAAATAATCATGAACATTTAGTTTCTATTAAATAATTTTTATAAAAGTACAGAACATTTTTATAACCAAGGTAATGTAGGGTAAAAAAAAAAATGTATATGTATGTGTTTAAAATGCTATCCTAACGAATAACCAACTTAATTTAGTATGTCCCCATAATATAATGGGGGTCAAAATATTTGTCAATTTTATTTTTTTTATATTTAAAAAAAAAAAAAAAATTTTTTATGAAAATAAAACTAAATTATACGAATAAGAAATCATAAAAGCAGAACATCTAACATTATTTACACCGTTTCCTTAAAAAAGTTTGAATTTTTAATAAGGAATGCACTTGTTAAATAGAAAATAAACAAGTTTACAATTATTAAGCATTGGCTGTTGGTGGTCCAGTTACTGGACTAGCTAAAAGGAACAGTATTCTTTTCTTATTCTAGAGGATCCCAGAAGTTTTTAAACTCAATTAGTTTTTGTTAAACATCACGTGCCTGCAAGTTATAGTCTGCTGATCTAATGTATTAGTCATTTTCTAAAATATTTCATGGGAAATGGTGTATTTGAATATAATTTTTTTTTTGTTATATTTCATTAATAAAATTCCTACATAATTATCTAAAAATAATTTCAAAAGTAGGTGGTTGTTCATTTATTTTTTTCAATATTTATTTAAAATATTTTTTAAATAAAAAAAATAAAAAAAAAAAATAAAAAATTTTGAATTTTTTTTCTAAATGCAAACTAATACTTCTACAATTTTTCTCATTTTTTTTTGTATTTATAATTGTGGAAAATGCTAAAAAAATATTCAGATATTTTTTAATAATAAAAAAATCCACCAAAATATCGAAAAAAAACAACCAAATTATCATTATAGCAATAAAAATGAGAGAAATAGAGCACATTTGCCAAAGATGTCGTAGTATTTGAGTAGATTTTGTTAAAATTTGGCATTAAATTTTGTATTGTATTTTGTTTAAAAATATCAATAATCTTAAAATATTGTTGTTGTAATATGTGTTTAACATTTATATTTATAATTTCATTTGACAATACAAATTGAATTTGGTGTTTTCTGAAATTTTTTTTTGGATAAATATTTGTACGATGATGACGGTGTTGATGATGATCATGTTGTTTTTGAAAGAGAAAAAGTGGTTGTAGCATTTTGACTATTTGTTGTCATTGTCTATTTCGTACACCTGATAAAAGTATCAGCCGCTAAAAAAAAAAAATATAATAAAAGAAAATTATAGGCTATTTTTAAACAATTGTTCAATATATATACACAGATACAAGTATTAATTTATTATTAAGTATATTTGTTAATTTCTTTGTTTCGCTTGATATGCTGCTGTATTTGCGAGATTTTCAAAATTTTTGCATAATTATGTGTTCGTTCATATATGGTATTATTGATTCAGCAGCATTTCTCTAGCCAAAATGATTCATATAATTTAAATATAATAAATAGAAATTTCTAAATTATATTGTTTCTTTTTTTATAAGAACACAAATAAAAAAATATTGTGTATTTAAGATTAGAATGAATTTTTTTTTGTATAAAATGATTCAAAGTTTAAGAATAAAGAATATATATTTATATTTGAAAGCCTTTTATGAAAACCTTCAATAGTAAATTTCCAATAATTTTTTTCAAAAATCAATTTTTTAGAAAACTCATATTTATCCCCAACCTTATACCCTAACCACTGTAGTGGGACGGTATTATGTGTTTGTGCTGATGTTTGTAACACCTCTATATCCACCTATACTCGTATATCAATCGGCTCAGTATCACCTTCTGAATCGATTTACCTTTATCCGTCCATCTGACTATCTGTCCGTCTGTGTGTCCATGTAAACCTTGTGCGCACGCTACAGATCGCCATTTTTAATATAATTTGACGAAATTTGGCACATACTTAATCTTCTTCTTCTGACCCAAGGACGAGCTCTAAATCGGTTCATTATTTCGCCTAGTCTATACAGCCGTACCCCTCGAATAGGGCTTTTGAGCTCATAAATATGTTAAATTTAAACTTAGTTTTATATAAGTCTATATACATATATGATAATTTTCGTAATAACCGGGATTCATTTAACCCTAGGCCCCATACAAAGTCCCATTCAGAAGACGACTTGAAGATCAAAATTCACTTATAAACGCTAATATCATTTTGAATTTCTGCATAAATAACTTTAATGTAGACGTAAAACCCTCTACCAAAATTTATAAGGATAGGCCCATATTAACCTCCTGCCCACACTGGTGTATGATGGTCATACGGTCGGTCATACCCGACTATATATTTTTATTTGTTTTATCAAAAATTTAATTTGACAATTTTAAAAAAAAGTATATTTTGGATGCTTTCAGCTGGCGTCATTAAATTCCAAACTGTATAGAACAAAGTTAAGTTAAAATATATCTATATAAAAAAGTATGGATCTGGTCATTCCTTTTCAACACATTGAAATATTGGACTAAGACCCACAAAAGTATATATATTCTGGGTCCTCATTAGATTCAAATACGATCTAGCCATGACCGTCCGCCCGTCTATTAAAAACACGATAGGGTCCTGAAAAAATCAAAAAAAGATTTATTAATTTTGTCATTCCGTTTATAACACATTGAAATATTGGTCTAAGACCCAAAAAAGTATATATATTTTGGGTCCTCATTAGATTCTAATACGATCTAGCCATGACCGTTCCATTTCATTCCAACGCACATTACGCACTAAAAATATCGCCATAGCAATAAAATTCAACATAAACGGGTTTCGTAGGAACTATGTCTCTATGAAGTTTTATGAGGATCGCTCCATATAAGGCCCTCTTCAGAAAATTACTTTAAAGCACAAAAATGTCAACATACTTATTGATGAAATTTCATATAAACAAGTTTATATTAATCTAAATCTCTCCATCAAATTTTATGATGATAGCTCCGTGATGGATCCTACCCCCATAAAAGGTCCCCTTTGTAAAATGACTGTAATTTTAATATCTGGCTTAAATATGCCAGTACGCTATGAAATTTAACGTAAACAAATTTTATGTTAAAAGAAGAAATCTCTATTAAATTTTATGATGATCTATTCTTAATTGACTCTACCACCCATATAGGGTCCCCTTCAGAAAATGACTAATGTTCATAATTGACTTAAAAACTTAAAATATTAGTATAATGGTGAAATTGGGCACAACCCATATTCTTATGATCGATCCATAGTTTACCGTACCACCCATAAAAACTCCCTTACAGAAAATTAGTTTATAGTTGAGAAATCATTTCAAAAGTTAAGCACTGTGATAGAATTAGGATATAATTCGAAAAAATAATTACTTCTTTAAATTCGGATTTATTTGATCAATAATTGACCCAGTCCAATCCCTCATTGAAGGCCCTGTTCGGAAAATTACCCCAACGTTCATATGAATCTAATGAACACAGTTCAGATATACGGGACCCATATCTTTTATGTATTACGATGGTAGCTATGTAGAAAATTTCGATTCGAATTAAAATACAGAATAGGGTGAATTTTTGTGCAATTTCTTTAGTACATAGAAATCTTTTTCCCATCGCATTCGTGTTTCGAACTTTTAATATGTATATTAAGAGAGAAATACCCATCCGTACGACTCCAGATTGCCGCAATGTAGACGATCCTGGTTTGTTACGAATCCAATTTAAAAGATTCAATTCAATGTAGACGATCCTGGTTTGTTACGAATCCAATTTAAAAGATTCAATTATATGTACAGAAAATCGGGCCTTACTTTTATATTCAGTTTTTGCGAAAAAAGGAGAAAAGAATGTTGAAAACTGTTATCAAGAATGTTTTAAAAAAATCAAAAAAATTAGATATTGAAAATTATTACAAAATTTCGAATCTAACATTTTCATATTGTTCAAATTCAAAAATATTCAAATTTAAATCGTATAATTGTGTGCCAAAATATGATTTCGATTTAAAAATAATTACAATAAGTTTGAAAACAAATACATACATACAAAAAAAACTTAAATTGTTAAAAGCAATACAACAAAAAATTTGTTTGTTTTTAGCCTCTAATCATAATTATTTTTGACGGTTGCTATACTTTCATCCCGTACGTCCGTTTCGTTCTGTTCCGATCTTTATGACTTTTTTATGTCTTGTATTTGCGAATGTGTGGTGTAACGTCCAAACGTTGTGTTGGATGATGAGTGTGTGTAAAAGTTGTTGCACTTTGGTGTTTTCAATTTGCAGCATCGCATCCTTAAAAGGTGCGCGTAGTTTGGATTATCATGTTGTTGGTGTTTTTTTTTCTTTTCGATTTTACCTCAATTTGTTTTATGTTTGCATATGAATAAATATTCAGTTATTTTCAAAATAAACAACGCATTCTTTATGTCATATTTGTTTTTATTTTTCAATATTTTGAAAAGGAATTTTTCTTCGTTGTGAATAATTGTGAATAAATGACAGGAAGAGTGTTTTCAATAAGATTTTAATTAGTGAAAAACTAAAAGTCTACAGCAGCAATGAATACATACATACATATTCATGTTATGAGTGTATGTGGGCTATTTTTAAAATTTGAAAATTATGTTAAAATTAAAATTTTTTATTCAATTATTTAGAACATTTAATTAGAAATTGTTTTTTTTTATACAAATGTTACAAACAATTGAAATATTTTATATGTAGGATGAAATGTTAACACAGGTTCTTTGCAACAAAATTCTTACTAATTTGGCCGATGGTACTTTTCTAACAAATAATAAAGTCCATAATTAATGGTCGTACAACCTAAATTATAACATTCAACTCATTCGATTATCTTATAGAAAGCGGTTTGAAATTAGCAATATCTGCTTGTTATTGAAAATAAAATTTCCAAAAGTTTTACTTTTTCGGAAAAAGGAAAATACTTTTGATCGGAATTGAATTCTGTGACAGGCCTGAATGTGAAAAATAGCAAATTGTAAAATTTATAAGAAATTTGGATAATAATGTCGGACATTCAATTGTGGGTTTTTATTTATATTTTTTGCAGAGTAGCGAAGCTAACTCGGTATAGCTAGTTGTTAATATAATTAAGCACTAGGCACCTGTTTAAATGTAACGGTTATCAAATCTATATTAATGATTTTAATATCACATGTATAACGTAAACATTAAAGGGGATTTTCGGAATAGATAGTTTAATGAGGGCTTGGGTAAATTATGAACCGAGCTTTTCCAATTTAAAAGATTGGTTTAATTTCGGAAGATGGACCAATAATATATGAAATGATCCATTTCTTATTTGTAACTACAATTTGGATCTAATATTGCCCGATCTTCAAAAAAATGTATAGAGAGATTTTGACTCCTATAAAACTAGTCTTTTTAAAACAATTATAATCATTAGTCATTTTCTTAGGAGGATAGGGTCAATTATGGATCGATCCTCATAAAATTTGACAAATAGATTAAGGTTCCTATAAGACATATTCATGTCGAATTTCATTTACTAAACTGGTAGTTTTACGCCAGTTGTGTGCGTTAGGGGTAGGTTCGATTATAATTCGATCCTCATAAAATTTTATAAGATTTTGGTTCCTATAAATCTTGTTTATGTCGAATTTTAACGTTATAGTAAAAAGTTTATATATGTTAAAGTAATTTTTTGAGTTAAACTTTATGTGGGTGATATGGACATTATTGGACCGATCCTTATAAAAATTTACAAAGAGATTTAGTTCCTTTAAAACATGTTTATGTCGACTTTCACTGCTTTATATTAGCCAATTATGAGCGTTAAAGTCATGTTTTGAAGGGGACCTTATATAGGGGCTAGGCGAAATAGTGGATCGATATTGCCCATTTTTAATAACAAACAACAGCTCGCTCAATCGTGGAAAGGAAAGAACTTTAGCGTACTTTTTATTTCGAAATGTCAAGTAGGCGTTGGTGCCACGCCCACATACAAAATAAGTATTAAAAGTCACATACATATCTGTTAAACAGCCACAGTAAGAGTCCTGAAATGTTGTGTTGACAACTTTGAGAACCATATGAACACTTGAAAATAAAATGGGCGGCCTAGGTATAGTAGGCGTGGCACCTGCCATATAAAGACAATTTGTTATTAGAGTATCAAAGAAATTATAAAAGCTGGAGTACATAGCAGACACTTTAGTATCAAAGTGAATATTTAACAAAAAAAAGAAGATTTACAATAGGGGGCGTGACACCACCAATGTGAAGTAAATATAAAAAATCGTATATCTAGGAAACTATTAGAGTTGAAATCCTTAAATTTTGCAAGAAAAAATATGACATTCATGTGAAAATTTTGGGGAAAAAAGGGGGCGGACTGACAATCGGGGGCTAAGTATGAATTAAATATAAATTTCATATATCTGGGAAACTATTAGAGATAGAATTTTAAAATATTGCTTGGTTAACATTGAAATCCCTATGAACGTTTGGAACTTGCAATAGGGGGCGTGGCATCTACCATATAAATTAAATACAAAACTTATTTTATCTCGGAAACTACACAGAGTGAAAAAAATATATACACGCCTGGTTCCAAATCGACACCAATCAAACCAAACTGTCAAATCGTGATAAGCTCAACGTTTGTTAACTTTTAGAAAACGGATGTATATAAAATTTATATTGCGACAATGAATTGTTGCAATGTTGACAACGCAACGTGTTGTATGCATATACTTGATAACGGATGTTATTGAAAAATTTGGTGTCAATTTGGTACCAGGCGTGTATATTTATTTTTACCTCTGTGTATAAGAGTTAGAATTTTATTTGGAAAACTATTAGAGTTAGATCCTAAAATTATTTTTAGGGTAGCGGAGTACACTGGGTGTAGATAGTTTAATTATAATGTGTATTTTAATTCCAATATATGTATTAAGATATCGATAAACAAAAAATTATAAAAAAAAACTTAAAAAAATTTTCAATATTTATTTTTACGGCTAATAAAAGAAAAGGTAGATAAATTGCATTATAATTAGAAAGATATAGTTTTCTTTTTTAATTATTCAAATACATTGTAGTTGTTGTGTTTATAATTTACACAACTAAAAAGAAAATTTATTGTTTTTACAAAATATACAAAATTGTTAGCGTATATAAATTATGGAATATATGTATGTTTATATAAAGTACATATATTACTAAATTTATATAAATTTTTTAGGTATATAAGAAGTACATTTGTATAAATGTACAATATGTATGTATAACTCTATGTACCAACTAATGTGTAGCAATATTTTTTTTTAGCAAAAAATATATATTTTTAATTTTAAAGCAAAAGTAAATGTAGAAATATCTTTCAATATACATTCAAATGTTGAATGTATTTGTAGCAATAAACTCTGGTGCATCATAATCATTTAGTGGAAGCACTTTGGCGGCCAAAAAATCTTAATGGAATCTCCACAATATTATTAATATTTGTTCTTAGGACAAAGGCACGCATGTCTATTAAAGAATTTGCTCACGAAAATTTCGCTATAGAAAATACAAATTTTGTAAATAAAAAAAGTAATGATGATAAACTCACACACAAATATCTACACTAATGCTAAATTTGAAATTTCTTTTCTAAAATAAACAAAAAATCTTTAGTGAGTAGGAATTTTCTGTATACAAATTGTTTTTAGATTTAATTTTTTGTTATTTATTTTTGGAATTATTCAATCTTTTGCGCCATTCTTGTTGTGTATTCGTGAGTTTGTTTATACTTTTCGCTTGATTTTCTTTTTAGTAAAATTTTGAATATTTTTTTTTTGTTGCATGTATTAGTATCTATTATTATCTTAGTGTGGGTGTGTTATTTCTAAATATTCCATCTACACTGGCAAACGTAATTAAAATAAACACATACATATTTAGATACTTTTTAAACATTTTTGTTGATTTTTTGAAAAATATTATTTTTTTCTTGCTCAAAATTTTCTTTTCAAACGCTCACTTGTTCTCTCTCCGTTCATTCGCCTACACGTTGGTCTAATTCTGTTTTTGATTTTGCGTAAAATTTTGGAAATTGTTTAAATAAATACCTAATTTTTGGAAAATAGAAACCATTTAATGTAAACATTTATTGATAACAATGCCAGGCATAAAGTATAAATTTATACAAAACTATTCTACGTTCTTGATATCAGAAAATCAATACAAACAATTTTTGAAATAACTATACGGTGTGAAATTAAAGAAAATATTCTTTAAATATTAAGAAAAATTAAAAAAAAAAATATTTAGTTTTATGCCAAGACAGGTGGAGAGATTTATAGTGGGACTGCTTGCTCGATTTTAAAAGAATATAATTTAGAAAAAAAAAAAATTAAAAAAATATATAAAATATTGGTTTAAAATGGTTTTGAAATTGAATCAAAAGTTTGACATCAAGCCCATGTTATTATTGAGTTGTTCAAAATGACGTCATCATTGTCCAAACAAGCCATAAGTTTTTAAAAAAAAATTTCTATAAAAAAAAGAAAACTTGTATAAAGTTTTCTAAAAAAATATCGTAATTATTGTAAAAATATAAAAATAAAAAAAAATTGGAAATAAGTTTAAACAGAATTTTATCAAAATTTTTCTTAATAAAAAAAAAAAATTATTGAAAATTTTCTATAAAAGTAGAAAATTTATTTTAAAATTTTTTTATAGAAATTTTTTTTGAAAATTTTCTATAAAAATAGAAAATTTATTGAAAAATTTTTATAAAAATAGAAAATTTATTGAAAAATTTTTATAAAAATAGAAAATTTATTAAAAATTTTCTACTTTTACAGAAAAATTGTCTATAGAAATAAAAATTTGTTTAAAAATTTTTCTACAAAAATAGAAATTTTATTAAAATTTTTCTATAAAAATAGAAATTTTATTAAAATTTTTCTATAAAAATAGAATATTTATTAAAAATTTTCTATGAAAATAGAAACTTGTTAAAAATTTTCTATAAAAGTAGAAAATTTATTTAAAATTTTCTATAAAAGTAGAAAATTTATTTAAAATTTTTTATAAAAGTAGAAAATTTATTTAATATTTTTTATAAAAGTAGAAAATTTATTTAATATTTTCTATAAAAGTAGAAAATTTATTTAATATTTTCTATAAAAGTAGAAAATTTATTTAATATTTTCTATAAAAGTAGAAAATTTATTTAAAATTTTCTATAAAGTAGAAAATTTATTAAAAATTTTCTATAAAAGTAGAAAATTTATTGAAAATTTTCTATAAAAGTAGAAAATTTATTGAAAATTTTCTATAAAAGTAGAAAATTTATTGAAAATTTTCTATAAAAGTAGAAAATTTATTGAAAATTTTCTATAAAAATAGAAAATTTATTGAAAATTTTCTATAAAAATAGAAAATTTATTGAAAATTTTCTATAAAAATAGAAAATTTATTGAAAATTTTCTATAAAAATAGAAAATTTATTGAAAATTTTCTATAAAAATAGAAAATTTATTGAAAATTTTCTATAAAAATAGAAAATTTATTGAAAATTTTCTATAAAAATAGAAAATTTATTTAAAATTTTCTATAAAAGTAGAAAATTTATTTAAATTTTCTATAAAAATAGAAAATTTATGAAAAATTTTCTATAAAAATAGAAAATTTATGAAAAATTTTCTATAAAATAGAAAATTTATGAAAAATTTTCTATAAAAATAGAAAATTTATGAAAAATTTTCTATAAAAATAGAAAATTTATAGAAAATTTTCTATAAAAATAGAAAATTTATAGAAAATTTTCTATAAAAATAGAAAATTTATTGAAAATTTTCTATAAAAATAGAAAATTTATTGAAAATTTTCTATAAAAATAGAAAATTTATTGAAAATTTTCTATAAAAATAGAAAATTTATTGAAAATTTTCTATAAAAATAGAAAATTTATTGAAAATTTTCTATAAAAATAGAAAATTTATTGAAAATTTTCTATAAAAGTAGAAAATTTATTGAAAATTTTCTGTAAAAGTAGAAAATTTATTGAAAATTTTCTATAAAAATAGAAAATTTATTGAAAATTTTCTATAAAAAAGAAAATTTATGGAAAATTTTCTATAAAAATAGAAAATTTATGGAAAATTTTCTATAAAAATAGAAAATTTATTGAAAATTTTCTATAAAAATAGAAAATTTATTGAAAATTTTCTATAAAAATAGAAAATTTATTAACAAATTTCTATAAAATTAGAAAATTTATTATAAAAATTTAAAATTTTTTATAAAAATATAAAATTTTTTATAAAAATATAAAATTTTTTATAAAAATATAATTTTTTTTTTAAAAATAGGAAATTTTTTCAAAATTTTCTTTAAAAATATTAAAAAAATTTATTAAAAAATTTCTATAAAAATAGAAAATTTATTTAAAAAATTTCTAAAAAAATATAATTTAAAATTGTTTATATAAATAGTAAATTTTTTATAATTTTCTTTAAAAATTAGAATTTTTTTGAAAATTTATTAAAAATTTATATAAAAATTTAAAATTTTTTTTAAAAATATACAATTTTTTAAATTTTTTTAAAAATAAGATTTTTTTTAAATTTATTAAAAATTTTCTATAAAAATAGAAACTTATTAAACATTTGTTATAAAAATCGAAAATTTTAAAAAAAATTTCTATAAAAATCTATCAAAATAGAAAATTTATTGAAAAATTTCTATAAAAATAGAAAATTTATTTTTTATATTTATTTCTATAAAAATAGAAAATTTCTTAAAAATTGTCTATAAAAGTAGAAAATTTATTGAAAATTTTGTTTGAAAATTTATTAAAAATTTTCTATAAAAATTTATTAAAAATTTTCTATAAAAGTAGAAATTTATTAAAACTTATCTATAAAAGTAGAAACTTATTAAAAATTTGCTATAAAAATCGAGAATTTTTTAAAAATTTCCGATAAGAATAAAAAATTTCTTAAAAATTTTTCTTCAAAATAGAAAATTTATTTTTTAAACATTTTCTATAAAAATAGAAAATTTTTTTCTGACTTTAAGTACCCACTGTATGCACTCACGTTAAACTAGCCGCCTGGTCTGCTAACAAAGAAACAAAAACAATTCACACCAGTTTCCTATGCATATATTTGGCCAACTTTAATCTGGTCCTACGCCTAACAACCAACCAATAAACTGCATGTTCCATGACAAACATCCATGTGGCGAACAACAATAAAAGGCCATTGAATGCAAAACTACCAGCAACTTGTGACAGTGTCAAACTCTTAAACGGTTCCTCACGAGCACGTTGTATTTCTTCGCTAATCTTGCGGCGCATGTCTAAATCTCGTGCCCATTTTTGCATGTGACCTGATTCGATGATATGCTGTATGACCGGATTGATTTTGTGCAATAAATGAAATTTCTTTGGCATCAACATTGTCACCAAGTAGACGTAAATGTTTTCATTGCGATCAAAGCAATAGAGACTGTCGCGCGGTATGCGAGGATTGTAGAAGGAGTGTTGGCGTGAAACGGCCACAGCCAGTTTTGTGTCTTTGGCAGCACGCTGCAAGCACTCTTCAATGTTGTAGCACATTTGAAAATGTTCGCGCACATAACGATAGATCTAGGAAAAAATATATTAAACAATTTTAAATCATTGATAAATTTTCACTTGCGTACAAACTACATACCTCTCCTTCCTTATTTAAATGTCTTACATTGTCCACACTGCCCATGATGTGCATGCGATTCTGATAAATCTCATTTAAATGACTAATTTGATACGATGACTTAGGCGTTGTCAATGTACTGACCAAAAAACTCTGATAAATATTGCTAAACATGAGACCCATGAAAAACGTTGCACCAAAACACAACTTTAAACTGGTTGGTATTGGTCGCAAGTTTATGGCCTGACTTAGTACAATGCCCATTACATAGACATTGATGCTGAAGTAACTTTTAAGAAAACCCAAACGCAAACGTAGATATTGTTGGGACATAAAAATACTCAATGAGGCTGTAAGTATGAAGATTAGGGTGAGTATCCAGGCACCAATTTGAAATGTTGCCATAAAGTTGAATAGATTGGTGGTATGATGAGCCTTCGACACACACCAAGTCAAGTCATCTTGATGATAGGGTATGGTACTGGACACAAATTGACTTATGCTGGGATCCTCATCAATGCCACCAACAACCATTTCAATATCGCTGAAAAGGAAGGGAAGTTTTTCTTTAATAGACTAGTCTATAGTTTATTCTATAGTTTGGCCTATAGTCCAGTCTATAGCCTGGTATATATTCTAGTCTATATTCTATTCTTTAGTCTAACCTAGAGTCTAGTCTATAGTGTAGTCTATAGTCTAGTACATATTGTAGTCTATAGTCTAGTCTATATTTTAGTCTATAGTCCAGCCTATATCCTAGTCTAAAGACTAGTATATGGTCTAGTCTATTGTCTAGTTTACAGTCTAGTCTATTCTATAGCCTAGTCTATATTCTAGTCTATATTCTAGACTATATTCTAGTCTATAGTCTAGTCTATATTCTAGTCTACATTCTAGTCTATAGTCTAGTCTAAAGCCTGGTCTATATTCTAGTCTAGTATATTGTCTGGTCTATTGTGTAGTCTATAATCTAGTCTATTGTCTAGTCTATAGCCTGGTCTATATTCTAGTCTATATTCTAGTCTCTAGTTTCATCCATAGTCCTGTCTACAGTCTAGTCTGTATTCTCGTTCATAGTCCAATCTATAATCTAGTCTATAGTCTTATCCATAGTCCAGTCTATAGACTAAATTACAAATCACGTCAATCTTGGATCTTACCCATCTATTAGCTGTTGAAAAAGATGATAAAGATTTGTATTCTCCACTTGCATTTCAATGCTAATATGCAAGCGTTCCGCTATAGTTTGTATCATTTTATATTCAATACCGTTCAAACGTATTTCCGAGGAAGATCCCTGGGCTCCCGCATCCATATCTTGTTGTTCATTATATGTGATATAGTCATCATTATCGTCATCATTTGTATCGATATCCTCATCTCCATCATAAGTATTATTGTAAGACGTTTGATTATTTCCCGTTGAGGTTGTATAGAGACTATTGTCTAAAGCTTCGTTAAATATATAGGGTTCCCAGGGACGATAGGCAGCAACTAATGGGCAACCACTTAAGTCTTTGGGAAATTTATCTAAAAATAAAGCACGATATAGTTCTTCAATATAAATTTTTGGATATTCAGATGCGGATTGTGTGGAATTGCCTTTATAGGCAAGAGTTTTGTAATCCTCTGCCAAATTGTCTATATTATCAATATATTCTACATAATTTGGGGTGATAGTTGGAGAAGTATTGCGAGATTGGGTGTTAGTTTCTTTACGTTTTGCATTATTTTCATTGTAATTATTGGAGTTTAGAGATGTTCTGTAATCTTCCTTTTCCTGTTCCTCTTCTTGAATTGATTTGGAGGATTGTGGAATTGCGTTATCTTTTTTGTGTTCATTCTCTTCTTGCTCTTCCTCACCACCTTCCTGTTCAGTATCTTCATTAGATTTAGAGGGATTTTGATTATCACTATCTTTCTCGTTCTGCTCTTCATCTCCAGCTTTCTGTTCATTATCTTCGTTTGATTTCGAGTTGTTTTGATTATCGTTACCGTTCTCTTTCTGCTCTTCGTCTGTTACATTTTCATTAGATTTTGATGAATTTTGATTATCCGTATTTTCATTTTTGCCGTCTTCTACATCTTTACCGTCTCCTACTTCTACTTCGGTCTCCATTCCATCATTATCCTCATCTTCCTCCTCCTCCTCATCATCTTCATCTTCTTCCTTTTCACTTTCCTGATAATCACAAATATCCAAGGTCTCTATCGATATAACCCGATTGCCACAATTATTATCCGGATGATAGGGAAACACTGTTTTGCCAAAATAAAAACTACTCTCTTCACTTTGTCCTATAATATTAACATTATAGATTTTCTTATTCATAAAATTTAACAAAATCTCTATCATAATATCCGTCATTTCCTCCTCGGTTTCCTCTACCGATGAAAAATATACCACAAACTGAGCCAATGGATTCCAATTTAAGTTAGACTTCCAACTTTCAAACACCTCATCCATATCTTCATCTTCCATATTTTCAATGACAAAAAAATAACACTGGGGCTTTTCATGCAAAACATGTTGTACTTTCCCCTCCATATCACTATCTCGATGAGTATCTTTTACCACTATGGTCCAAGGATAATTTGGATTTGTATGCAAAGCATGCAGCAATGATTTCTGAACGTGTGCATTAGCTGTGGTAATGCTCATATGTAGCACTGATCCGGAGAGGGCCTCTCCAGAATGAAAATATTTCCCCAACAAAGCTACGGTACAAACAATTTGTGCCCGATCATCGTCTGGCACTTTAATGAGATTAATGCCAAAACCCTGAGCTTCACTTTGAAGCCATGAGTTGAGAAATAACAGCAGCCAGAGGTGTGTCATGGTAATAGTTGTGTACACGACTTGAATATCGTTTTTAAAATGAATGAAGTAATAACGTTTTTTTGGTTATACTACTTACGACCGCAGGCGAAAAATATATGTTACATGCATATAATTTAATTATATTTACAAACTACATATTTAAGTTAACGATACGTTAGATACAGTGGGTGCTAAAAGTGCAAAGTTAGTTTATTTAGTGTGATTTTAAGAAAAAAGAAGTATAGAAAAGTATTTTAGCGAATGGATCCAGAAATAGGGCACTGAACTAGAACTGAACTAGAACTGAACTAGAACTGAACTAGAACTGAACTAGAACTGAACTAGAACTGAACTAGAACTGAACTAGAACTGAACTAGAACTGAACTAGAACTGAACTAGAACTGAACTAGAACTGAACTAGAACTGAACTAGACTGAACTAGAACTGAACTAGAACTGAACTAGAACTGAACTAGAACTAGAACTGAACTAGAACTGAACTAGAATGAACTAGAACTAGAACTGAACTAGAACTGAAACTAGAACTGAACTAGAACTGAACTAGAACTGAACTAGAACTGAACTAGAACTGACTAGAACTGAACTAGAACTGAACTAGAACTGAACTAGAACTGAACTAGAACTGAACTAGAACTGAACTAGAACTGAACTAGAACTGAACTAGAACTGAACTAGAACTGAACTAGAACTGAACTAGAACTGAACTAGAACTGAACTAGAACTGAACTAGAACTGAACTATGAACTGAACTAGAACTGAACTAGAACTGAACTAGAACTGAACTAACTGACTAGAACTGAACTAGAACTGAACTAGAACTGAACTAGAACTGAACTAGAACTGAACTAGAACTGAACTAGAACTGAACTAGAACTGAACTAGAACTGAACTAGAACTGAACTAGAACTGAACTAGAACTGAACTAGAACTGAACTAGAAACTGAACTAGAACTGAACTAGAACTAGAACTGAAACTAGAACTGAACGAGACTGAAACTAGAACTGAACTACGAACTGAACTAGAAACTAGAACTGAACTAGAACTGACTAGAACTAGAACTGAACTAGAACTGAACTAGAATTCTGAACTAGAACTGAAACTAGAACTGAACTAGAAACGGAACTAGATACTGAACTAGAACTGAACTAGCAACTGAACTAGAACTGAACGAGAACTGAACTAGAAACTGAACTAGAACCTGAACTAGAACTGAACTATAGAACGGAACTAGAACTGAACTAGAAAGGAACTAGAACTGAACTAGAAACTGAACTAGAACTGACGATAACTGAACTAGGAAACTGAACTAGAACTGAAACTAGAACTGAACTAGAACTGAACTAGAACTGAAACTAGAACTGAACTAGAAACTGAACTAGCACTGAAACTAGAACTGAACTAGAACTGAACTAGAACTGAAACTAGAACTGAACTAGAACGAACTAGAATGGAACTAGAAACTGAACTAGAACTGAACTAGAACTGAACTAGAACTGAACTAGAACTGAACTAGAACTGAACTAGAACTGAACTAGAACTGAACTAGAACTGAACTAGAACTGAACTAGAACTGAACTAGAACTGAATGAACTAGAACTGAACTAGAACTGAACTAGAACTGAACTAGAACTGAACTAGAACTGAACTAGAACTGAACTAGAACTGAACTAGAACTGAACTAGAACTGAACTAGAACTGAACTAGAACTGAACTAGAACTGAACTAGAACTGAACTAGAACTGAACTAGAACTGAACTAGAACTGAACTAGAACTGAACTAGAACTGAACTAGAACTGAACTAGAACTGAACTAGAACTGAACTAGAACTGAACTAGAACTGAACTAGAACTGAACTAGAACTGAACTAGAACTGAACTAGAACTGAACTAGAACTGAACTAGAACTGAACTAGAACTGAACTAGAACTGAACTAGAACTGAACTAGAACTGAACTAGAACTGAACTAGAACTGAACTAGAACGAACTAAACTAGAACTGAACTAGAACTAGAACTGAACTAGAACTGAACTGAACTAGAACTGAACTAGAACTGAACTAGAACTGAACTAGAACTGAACTAGAACTGAACTAGAACTGAACTAGAACTGAACTAGAACTGAACTAGAACTGAACTAGAACTGAACTAGAACTGAACTAGAACTGAACTAGAACTGAACTAGAACTGAACTAGAACTGAACTAGAACTGAACTAGAACTGAACTAGAACTGAACTAGAACTGAACTAGAACTGAACTAGAACTGAACTAGAACTGAACTAGAACTGAACTAGAACTGAACTAGATCTGAACTAGAACTGAACTAGAACTGAACTAGAACTGAACTAGAACTGAACTAGAACTGAACTAGAACTGAACTAGAACTGAACTAGAACTGAACTAGAACTGAACTAGAACTGAACTAGAACTGAACTAGAACTGAACTAGAACTGAACTAGAACTGAACTAGAATGAACTAGAAACGAACTGAACTGAACTAGAGAACTGAACTAGAAAACTGAATAGAACTGAACTAGAACGAACTAGAACTGAACTAGGAATTGAACTAGAAACTAACTAGAACTGAACTAGAAATGAACTAGAACTGAACAGAACTGAACGCGAATCTGAATTAGAACTGAAGAGTATATTTTTTAAAATACTATTAATTATTTATTTTTGTATCATTTTTGCTGAGTAACCGAAGCTATTAAAAAGACAATTTATTGATTTAGATCTTTTATTTTTTTACCCATACTAACTAAATTAAAATAATAGTACCTACGAACACCAAAAACCGTATGATTCGCATCCTGTAAAACGAACCCAATTAAAATAACAAAGATTTTCGATATTAATTTGTGTGTGTGGTGGCACTTCGAAACTGTAGTATTTCATTTAAAACCTTAGCAAGAATTTTTACCACCATTATCAAAAGAAAAAAATTAAATATATTTATACATACTTAGTATGTGCATGTGTTACCCAAAAAACCACTCCTTGGGGTGTTTGCCTTTTAATGTAAACAAGCTGGCAAGCAAGTAACACATACAAATCAATCCCCAGCAACGGACTTCAATTCAAATCAAACTCCACACTTTGTTGATATTTCGCAAACGTATTAGAAAACAAAGAAAAACTTTGTTGAAAAAAAGTAGTTATGTTGTTATAGATATTTTATTATGGGTTCCATTACTTATGGTTATGGCCACTTCTAAGACGGCCGACCGTCTGGGCCAATCACTTTTACGTTCTAAAATCATTAAGGCTTTTTTTAATCATACTATTATGGTCATTCTTGTTACTTTTGTTCTCAAATTCAGTTAGATGTAATTATTGTAGCGATTATTAGATAGTTGGAGTTTTATAATGTTGTATTCGTATGGAGTACATAATTTACATAAAAAAAAGTTTTTAATGTTACAAAAATAGTTTAAAACTAATTTTCATCTAAAATAGATTTAAATAAAGTTTATTATAATTATTACTTAAAAAATGTTACAGTTTTATTGTCAAACCTATGATTTTATTAAATAAATTATTGGCTACTTTAGTCGTATTCGGCAGCTGCAAACAATATATTCAGTTGTTACCATCACTTGCAGCAACCGAATTTATAGTGTATTTTCTCTATAAAATAAATATAAATACCTAGTTCTTATTGTCAATAATTTTAACAATTTTGTGTAAAAAATATTTTTATTTTTAGTAAATTATACACGCAATAAATTAAGTTAGTCCATTTTATTTGCTTTCCCACAAGTAATGACTTTTAAAATGTAAAATAAAAACAAGCTCCACTTGAACTGTCAAATATCTTAATTTAATTTTTATGCTTTAAATCTAGGTTCATTTTGTTGTTCATGTAACTGTTGGGGCAAATTTATTTTCATGTAAATAATCAGACATGTTCCTAAAGTTAGATAATAATGTCTTTTAAATGTTTTGATATTAAAACAATATTTTATAAATTTAACCATATAAAGCAAAGGCATGATCTAAAATTTAGAAAATGTAATAAGGATTTAAGATAAGTGATGTCGAACTATACGAATTTTAGTCCAAAGTTATCTCAATGTCTTGGCACCATAAAAGGACAGTTTGTCTGGACAACTTTTTTTGCATTGCTGTCAATATGTCGTCAATAGAGATAGATAGATAGATAGATAGATAGATAGATAGATAGATAGATAGATAGATAGATAGATAGATAGATAGATAGATAGATAGATAGATAGATAGATAGATAGATAGATAGATAGATAGATAGATAGATAGATAGATAGATAGATAGATAGATAGATAGATAGATAGATAGATAGATAGATAGATAGATAGATAGATAGATAGATAGATAGATAGATAGATAGATAGATAGATAGGTAGATAGATAGATAGATAGATAGATAGATAGATAGATAGATAGATAGATAGATAGATAGATAGATAGATAGATAGATAGATAGATAGATAGATAGATAGATAGATAGATAGATAGATAGATAGATAGATAGATAGATAGATAGATAGATAGATAGATAGATAGATAGATAGATAGATAGATAGATAGATAGATAGATAGATAGATAGATAGATAGATAGATAGATAGATAGATAGATAGATAGATAGATAGATAGATAGATAGATAGATAGATAGATAGATAGATAGATAGATAGATAGATAGATAGATAGATAGATAGATAGATAGATAGATAGATAGATAGATAGATAGATAGGTAGATAGATAGTTAGATAGATAGATAGATAGATAGATAGATAGATAGATAGATAGATAGATAGATAGATAGATAGATAGATAGATAGATAGATAGATAGATAGATAGATAGATAGATAGATAGATAGATAGATAGATAGATAGATAGATAGATAGATAGATAGATAGATAGATAGATAGATAGATAGATAGATAGATAGATAGATAGATAGATAGATAGTAGTTTGTCAATCCTCAAAACTGTAAAAAATATAAAAATTT